AAAAAAAAACGAAAATTTCCCAACCTTTCTTGAACCCGAAGCACCAGAACCGTCGCTGAGCATCTCCATTGCTGATGTCCAGATGGCTGTAATTAGTATAAAGACATTCATGATATTGTTTATTTATTTTTTATTTTTTCTCTTTCTTTCTTTAGTACATACCCTTCTACTACATCCCAGTTTATTAATAGATTAATAGCAAAAACTGCTCTGAAACAGAAAAACCAGAATGGAAATTTATAAGGTTCAAAGATTTTTTGATGCTAAACCAGCACTAGGAAATCAAATTTCTCTACAACTCAAAAGGTGGAAATGGATATTTAATTTTTCAGAAGAATACTCAATTCGGTTGTGACCCATGACGATGCTTGAAATTTGGCACAATAACCGTAAACTGAAGATGTCACAAAATAAATCCAAAATGTCAACTTTCTTGAAAAATATTTACATTCTCAACAAGCATCACCGCTTCCATTGAAGCTCCTAGATGCCCGTGCCAGCACGGTGCTAGCGCCGTGCCGTAATCGATCGATCGATAAGCAGCGCGTACATGTGGGTTCTGGCACGGCGCTGGAACGGTGCTGGCACAGCGCAAGCACCTGGGTAATTCTGGACACTGCTAAAGCAAAGGCGTACCCCTAATTAGATAGTCTTGAAAACTCCTACCTGTCAGCGGCCACAAGGCATTCACAGCAATACCATATGGTCGAAATTCTTCATGCATTCCTAGTACGCACATCGACATTCCATACTTAGCCATAGTATAGGCTACATGATTTGAAAACCACCTCGTTTCCATTAACAATGGCGGTGAAATATTGAGAATATGTGGATTTTTGCCTTGCTTCAAATACGGTAGACACATCTTTGACCTAAAAATTAAAGGATCATAATATGTCAAAAATCCGAACCTCACCGAAGGTCACCGAATTCCGCGTCGCATCGCCATATCTTGGTTCAGGATGGAGGAATTATGAATCTAACGAACGCGTTCGACTTCAGGCGCATCTTGTATTATGAAGTCCCTTGGATACGGTAGGAACACTGTAGGCGGTCAGTTCTCACGAATCTTTTAGATTTTTGCCTACGGTAAGTCACTCAGGTGCTTATTCTGCACACTTGGTGACCTACCGTAGGCAAAAATCTATGAAATCTCTGCCTACCATGCACCTACCGTATTCAAACGGACACTTCTATATATTAGAAGTTTCGCCTCGCCGAGCTGAGTTGAAAGGTGCTCTTGGATTAAGAATTCGTCCATTCTGACTCAAGATAAGGCGAAGCGACGCGACTTTCGGTGAACTCCGGTGAAGTTCGGTGACATTTACCGATTACTATATGGATGCAAACCCACATGAGATACGTTCCCCTAGTGTTGATTGAATGCATGAGATCATATCGTTTCATTGGTGTATCTTCAGTATTGGTAAGACTGATGGCAGATGCATTGTTGACTAAAATATCAATGCCTCCGAATTTCCTTACAGCCGCTTCCACACAGTCGCTAACGGACTTCTCATCGCGAACATCAACGACACAAGGCAAAGCCTTTCCTCCTGCCTGGAATCAAGTGACAAAGGTAAAAGGGAAATGGAGAAAATTGAAAATTTCTCTAAAAGTGTGCAATTTGCTTGATGGAATGTAAAACTTTGCAAAGAGTCTATTATTGCACATAAATGAGACAGTTTTTGAGATTTTTGTATAAACTGATTTGCCTCATTTGAACAAAGAGGCAAATCAGTTTGCCAGAGGTTTCAAAACGGTGTTGTTGATTACAATCTCCAGGAAAAGCGTGCTAAACCTACATTTTTATGGAGTTGCTATAAATTTGATGAAGTGTAAAAAAATG